CCCGCAAAGACTGGTACACATTATGTCTGCTCAATTGGAAGGATGACTAGTCTCAAGTCATTCGTGTAGAGACATGAGACAGATGTGTAGGGGCTCTATAGAAGATGGAGTCCACTGAACGCGATCAACTCTAGAATTCTTGTATGGAAGTCTTACTCACAAGTGTCAAACAAAGAATTCTAAGGTGTGATAATGCAAATTAATCCTTAGACCCGAGACATCATAGTTTTCTTGTGTATATGTTGTTTCTCTTTGAAAGCACTATACGGTTGTATCAAAATACTATGACTTAAAGGTGTTCCTCAGGATTCTCAGCATGTACGCAGAGACAGGTGAATGTACAACAAGGAATCTCTGCTCTTAGTAAACAGAGAAAATACTCTAAAGATATGATTCGTGAATCTTTGGCCAAAGTATTGGACGGAAATTGAAACAAGAACGTTTGCAATTTCATCAAATTGAATCATATAATCTAGAGACGTCATATTAGGGATTTTGACACAAGTTTACCATATGCCGAGAATATGACATAGAGTATTGAATTAGAGAAGGATCGAATTGCATTGTAATCACAAACTGACTAAGTTCTCTAAATGAATTCTTTTTAACTTGGGCAGCCATGACATATTGCTAGGTGTCACTCATGGCTTATGGAAGCCCGGTAAGGACTAATTATAATTAGCCTTCGCCAAAAGGGAGAATTGTATGGAGGGATACAATTCACGTTTGATTCAGAGTGAATCATTCATACCCATTGCCTCACTAATTAGGACTTATAAGATCGCACACCGAAAAGGAACTGATTGGGAAATTAAGAAGAAAATGAATGATTTTGTGACTTGGTCAAAGTCAATGTGAAAGTCAAAGGTCGAAGTCAAAAGTCAAAGGTCAAAGGTTAAACGGTTGACCCAACACTTGACACGGTCAACTAAGGATGACTGAGACCAACACTCATTAGACAAGTGAGTTATTAGATTAATTAAGTCATTAGAGTAATTAAATTAATTAGATTAATTTAATTATTCAATTAAAGTTATGAAACTTTAATTAAAGGTCCCATATGACTTGAAAATTCAAAATAAATTTGACCATATAGACTTAGGCATATATGTGACATATTAATTAATTTGTTAGACCAAGATAGCACAAAAGGATGACACACAAGGGGGGGTGTGGCTACGCTAGGGCATGAGGGTATTTTTGTCACTCATATGACATTTTTGATCCTGTAAATGTATAGCTATGGTATCCTATCATCCTAGGGGTTTTTAAGTTGGTGAAATTGGAAGAGAGAAAACATCAAGCTCTTTCTCCCTAACCCCTTGAACTGGTCACATAAGTGAGGGTGCTAGCACCACTCTTCACTTGTTGTCTACTCATTCTCTCATCCCATTCAATCTTTGGTGAAGAGCTTTGGGGAGGTGCATATCTTTGTACCTATTTGGAGAGCTATAAGTGGAAAATCAAAGTAATGAGTTTTTAAAAATCTCTACACAACACCATTTCCACAATATTCCCTTCACCCGAATGCCCATTTATATGAACTAACACTCATCTCAATCATCCCATAATTTCCCATTTTTTTAGTCATCTTGTCTAACTCTCTGTCGCCAGTCCCGCATCATCCAATAAAAACCATGTGCACTATGGGATCCTTGAGATCTGGAACCTACCAAGAGTTAGACTTAACTACACGAAAGATTATTTCCATTACCCTCTTTTCCATCATTATTTTCTCAATCCAATAACTCCAGCCAATTTTCATGACATTATGTACTTATACCTTCCACATATCCTGTATATCTCACAACAATGTAACTATTTAAAACATCACCAATGTATATATAATTATGCCAACATTGTTCAAATAGTTAACAACACGTAAACACCCACATGAAGAACATTATAGAATATCAAGAACATCCATCAAATTATAATATCACGCATAATATAGTGTTCACGAAATTTAATTAAATCAATCCCCATGAAGGCCCCCCAAGAAACCCCCTACCTTGACACCAAAGCTTTTGCTAGAAATGTAAGGTGTTTCCCAATTTTCCCCGACATCCACAAACTTAGTCTCCCACTCTTTTTCTTAACAATTCTACTTCTCTCTACCTCTCTTTCTCTCTCGCATTCTTTGTTCCTTTGTTGTGCAACTAATGACTTATATATATACAAATGATAGGCCGGCTACAACTCATTTCCTATTGGATGGTTACTGGCGGTTTATGTACTTACTATCCAAGTAATGTGTATATATAGGGTTATTGATTTCAATGGTCCCCCAACTATTGCTCCAGTATCATTTTGGTCCACTAACTAAAATGATCATTTCAATGGTCCTTCAACTCTTAATTTGATATCAAAATCGTCATACAGTCAAAGTCTGTCAACTATTCCATGAAATTGAAGGGCAAAATAGTATTTTCAAGGCATTCCAACCTCTCCCTTTTTCTCTCTCTTTGACGATTCGACAACCACCAACCCTAACCTATCGCAGTCCACCCCAGCATCCTTTCAGTCTGTCTCCTCCCCCTCTCTCTGTCTCTTCCCCCTCTCTCTGTTTGTTGAATCAGATGGTGAAAAGAATGAAGAACACAACTAGAAACCGCTCTCTAAACCCTCACAAGTTCAATCTGTTTAAAGGTTTCCAAGAGATTCTAAGCTTTTTTGTTTTTTTTGGGGAATATTTTTGAACCATCTGGACATTAAACATGTCTTCTCTCAAGTGGGACAGTTGAAATCTAGTTAGCATGTACAGCCCACCAGTCTAAGATTGTTTGGTTTTGTTTTTTAGGGTACTGCCCTAAAAGAGAAGAAGACGAAGACTAATATGGAATTCGTTTGGTTTTGAGGGTACTGCCCTGAAAAGAAGGTTTTGCCCTTGAATTTAACGGCAAAATTGATAGACTTTGACGGTAGGACTAATTTGATACCAAATGAAGAGTTAAAGTACCACTGAAATGAAAAATTTAGTTGGTGGACCAAAATGATACTGGAGCAATAGTTGGGGGACCATTGAAATCAATAACCTATATATATATATATATATATATATGGTCTTGCGAGATAATTAAGAAAGAATTTCTTGTAAGACACGTTGTGACTCCTCCAATCCTAATTTGATGTTCTTCATGGTGAGTTGACAAGGTTAGTAATCATAGCCTTGCTACTAGCATGTTGTTGCGTCTACCCAAATGCAAGTAGTCACACGTAGTAATAATCTTGGAAGTCCAAGTATCGTATCCTCAAGGAGCAGGTAGGCAAATATCTGCACACAAAGAAATAATTAAATGTACCACAATAAAAGTGACAAGCAAAATGGAAAAGTAATTTGATTTTATTGTTGTGGAAAATTGAGTTTAAAAATGAAATATCAATAATGGAAATGCT